GATCCTCTGTCCCCCTGTCTCTCTGCCCCTCCGCTGCTCATGCTCGAGCACTCTCTCTCTGTCGCACAAGAAATAAACAATTAAGACACAAGTGTGGATTTATTCCTGGACTGTTGATCTCTTGTGTCTGTCCTCGTGCTGGTGCCACACTGTCTAGTTTACTGTAAGTTTTGTCATCCTGAGTTGTGTCTGCTGTTGGGGGTGGGCAGTAAGGAAGGTAATGTGGTTCTTACGTCTCCACGTAACGAGACCAGACCCTTCTTCGTCGGGATCCACACAGCCTGGGGTGCCCGCCACGTCCCTGACTGAGCCATCACGACGTCCACAGTTGGGTTTCAGGGTCCCTTAGGATACGGAGGGTTTGGTGCGAGGCTGTGAGTAAGAGGGTCTTTGGCCAGTATGGGAAATTCGATGAGACGTGTCGCTTCCTGGCCTCTTGCAGAAGGAGCTGAAACTTGGGTTCGGCAGGCCGGGTCTTCCGTGGGTCCTGAAACTAGCTTGCAGTGTGGCGTCAGCTTGCTTTTCTTCGCTTATCGGTCTGGATCTTTTTACAGCCACTCTCTTCTTCCAGCTAAAACCTGCTGTGCAGCGAGCTTCAGAGGACAGAGGTAAAGGTTGGCTTTTTTTTGAGTTTTTATTTGGAAACAATTTTAGACGGATTGAAATGTTACAAAGACAGCATCGAGAGTTCTCGGGTACTTTTCAGCCACCTCCCCGCTGCTAGCATGGAACATAACTGCAGAATAACCCACACGAAGCAGGCAGCACAGAGCAAGAGTATTTACCAAACCACAGCCTTTATTTGGATTCCGCCAGCTGTCACACGCGTGTCTGCCCCAGAGCCCCACCCGGGACCCTGTATTGCGTTTAGCCATCACACCTCCGGCTCTTCGGGGCTGGGACCGTTTCCGTCTTTGCTGATCTCTTGTGACCTCGATGCTTTTGGAGAACGCTGGTCGGGGATCCTGCCGGACATCCCTCAACTTGCCTCGTGCCCGGTGTTCTCTGGGGTTCGGATGCAGGTCACGCGGTGTGGGACACGCTGAGTTCTCTGCGCCGCCAGCCGCTGTGTCTCTTTGCCGGTGGGTGACGTCAGCCCCCATCCCACGGTTACGGTGGTGCCGCTGCCCGGGACTCTGCAGGGAAAGGTGCTGCTTTTCCCTTCGGGACTTTGAGACTGTGCAGATGCCTCGTTTCCTCTCACACCTGTGCCCGTCCGTTGCAGCACCTGCTGGGCATCTCCCTGCGCTGGTTTTTACTGTGACTTCGTATTACTCTGGCTGCTTCTCCATCTGTGAATTGGAATTCTTTTGTGGAAGAGGGCAGCCCCTTCTCCCTCATTTACGGTATGTTTTGAATTTTGCGCCAGTGAAGATTTAGGAGCATTTATTCTGTCCTGCGCGTGGTAGTCTGGCACCGTCACCATTCTGTCGCCTCAGTTGCCCTTGGCTTTGGCCATCGGGCGCTCCTCGACTGGGGTCCTGTGTCCTTCCTTCGTGACCACACCCTCTAGGGAGGGTTGCCTTCCTTCCTGCTCCTCCCAAGTGCTGGAGATGCTCTCTCGGCTCACCTTGTATATTTCCTGCCTCAGCCCCGGAATAGGACACCTCTCCACGTTGGAGAATGGTATTTGAGAACGGTGAGCTGGGTGTCGGGGCCTCTCCTGTCAGTCGACAGAGCTTGGAAATGGGAATCCGAACCCACGCATGCCTCCGTGCGCACCTGTGTTTATTTCTGCGTCCACCTGTCTGTATACGTACGTTTTTCAGAAAGCCGGAGTTCATGCTGATCTGACGATAGTGTGTTCAGGTCGGTGGACCTTCTGAAGCTTTGGGGGTCTCCCTGCCTTGTGAGGGTCACAAATAGCCCCTGTAGGCTTGGGTGGAGAGCAGGGGATGCCAGGCCCCTTTTGAGGGCCACCTGGGGCTTGTGGCCATGGACGAGCAGGCAGAGTTGGGCGTCTGGTCCTCCTGGCCAGGTAGCTGAATGAGTAGGTGAGGGCTCCCTTCCCATCTGGCCCGGAGGCTGCCCAGTCAGCGCTCTGCCTCCCAAAACCCGGGCCCAGCTCCAGGGCACGAATGGGCAGTGTGGTCTGGTGTGGGCCAGCCCTCCAGACCTACCCTGAGGGTCAGCCCTGGACAGCTGAGAGCTGGTAGGACCAGGGGACTCAGGGGTTCCTTATCCAGCCAAGCAGGGGGTTCCCCAGAGAGGCCACCAGGTGGTGGCAGTCCCTAATGCCTCAGCCTTGAGGTGCAGCTGGCTCTTTCCCTGTTTCCTGCTGCTGCTGCTTCCTGGCCCCGCCTGCCTGCCCTTTGCAGGGGGGGGGGGGGGGTGAAGCGAACACCACCCAGCCTGCTGCTTCAGCCCCTGCATGCCCGCGGTCAGAGTAACAGCCTCTTCCAGTGGTCAGATTGTGCCTTTTTAAAGGAGGGATGGTCAGACGGTGCCTTTTAGGGACATCGATGTCTGATGTCTCAGGTCGCCACTGCAGGCTCTTACCTTGTTGCAACCGGACTCCCTTCCCGGGTTCTATTCTTAGCGCCCCAGATTTCCCGGGGCCCACAGTGAGGTCAGCGGCTGGGCCGGGCCAGCTTGGGCAACAGGAAGCATCAAACCCAGCCTGCCTTGCCTGGGCCTTTCTGTTTTGTTTTTTCTTTAAAAATGTTACTTAGACTTTATTTTTTTCAAGCATCTTGCTGGGACAGAGAAATTGAGAGTGCTCCCCGCACCCCACATGGTCTCCCCACTGGGACCTCCTCTCAGGCTGGAGCATTTGTTGCAGTTAATGAACCAATGTTGATACATTCTTAGTAAGTAAAGTCCGCACTCTGTTCAGCTCCATGCTCCGTGACAGTTTTGAGAGGCCCGGGCAGGGGTTTTCTAGAAGGCCCTTCCTTGGGTGCGTCTGCGGCTTTTCTCGTAGTGAGACTGGGGCGATGGGTTTAGGGAGGAGAACCCCCCGAGTGAAGCGCCCTCCCCCTGACACCACCCCGGGGGTGCGTGCTGTCACCGCGGTGTTGGCCTTGGTCCCCCGGCTGAGGTGGGCCGTCCAGTGTCTCCACTGTAAGCTCACTCCCTTCCCTGTTCCCATGCTGTCCTGTTTGGGAGGCTGTCACTGTGCCCAGCCCACGCTTCAGGGCCCTGAGGCCAGGCTCTGGCATCCCAGCACCTCCAGGATGGCTGCTGGCCAGCCATGTGGGGGCGGGGGGGTGGGGGGTGGGTAGGGGACGCGGCCCCTGAAGGAGCAGTGGAGGCAGGTGGGCCTGGCCCCTTGGTCACTGTGGACATGGGTCAGGGTGGACAGAGGCTGTCTTTGGGCTGTGGCCACAGAACTGGGGCCCGACCCCGGCCTCCCAGCTCGGGGGTCAGTGTCGTTGTCCCCCAGAGCAGGAGGGTAGTAGGACCCATGGTCTCGGTGGCCCGGCAGCGCTGGGTCTGTCCAGCTGAGAACCACGGGCCCTGGTGGTCTCTGCCTTTCAGACCACGTGCTGGTGGGTGTGGCCCATGTCCAGCGTGGGAACAGCCTGTGCGGAGACGGTCAGGAGCGAGGAGGGAGACATGTGATCCCCTCGACACAGGAGCAAAAAAGCCCGAGGCCAGCAGCTCGCGGCCTAGCGTCCGCTCCGTCAGTGGAAGTGAAGAGATCTCTCCACGCCCCTGAAATCCGTGAAATGCACACAGAAGCCACCGTGTGAGTGTCCCCGTGCCGCTGTAACGGGGAACCACGCTTCGTGACTGAAAACCGCACACACCGATGCCCCCGATCGGGAGGCCAGGACGCGGGCACGGGTCTCACGGGGCTGCCGCCGAGGCGTGGGCAGGGCCGGCTCCGTCCGGTGGCTCCGGCGGGAGTCCGTTCTTTGCCTGTGCGGCTTCGAGGGGCACCACCTTCCTCCTTCCCAGTGTGACGGTGAGGCCTCTGCTCCTGTTGTCGTGTCGCCTTCTCTGACCCTCCTGCTCCGCCCGTGACCCAGGGTCATCTTCCCGCCTGAAGGTCCTTAACCTGCAGAGTCCCCTCTGCTGCGGAAGGGAGCAGGGCCCCAGGTTGCAGGGATGAGGGCTTGAGGGCGTGGACATCCTGGGGGCTGCGCTCTGCCAGCCACACCTCCAGGGAGGGGTCCTCAGACTTGAGCCTTGCCTCCGGCAGGTGCTAGCGGGGCTGTGGAGGGGGATGCGCGGGGCGCAGGCGCAGGCCGGGGAGGCCTCGGGAGTTTATTTACCTTGCCCAGAAGAGGGGCGCAGCCGAGGTCGGGCAGTCCCACAGCTTGACGCTTTCAACCCGGGGGTCTGACCTGGGAAGAGACGGTGTGATCTGTTGAATGGGGTCGTGCTCAGGAATTTAAAAAACCCGACAAAAATAAGAGAAAACGTGGGAGCATCCGGGAGAGCTGATAGCCCGGGTTGTCCAAGGTGCCGGGGCTACACTGAAGGTTGGGAGTCTTGTCCTGTGTCCACTCAATAGTGTTGGGGTGTCTCTGTGCCCAGCGGTGCATTCACTGGCTCGGACCCTGCCCTCCGAGGGTCTTGGCCCCGTACAGCCCCTGCTCTGTCCTCTGCCTGTGCTCTCCGCCTGCCGGGGGTGTCATCACTGGTCGCCAGACATACGTGTTGTTCCTGTGACTCTCCTCCTTGGAGGGGTGCCTTTCTGACTGGGGGGCTTTGGAGGAGGCAGAACTTCTTATAAACCTCTGAAGAGCTGCCTGAATCTTAAGGTTTCCAGAAGCTCCTTTGGTTTAATTTGATTGTCTCATGGAGCCCTCACTTCGTCAGCTACTGATTTTTAGGGGCTGAGCCTAAAACGGGCAGTTGTTGCAGGACTTCAATGGGGAAGGTGCTTACAGCTATGATTTTACTGTTCTTGAGAATTGGCAAGGATTTGGAAATGTCTGGGTAAAGGCAGTATCCTTGGGCTACACGCAGCTGTTAGGAGTAGAGTCTGGAATTGAGATTTAAGCATGCGATCCGTTTAGCTCATCGTGCTTTTATTTTGTGCACCGTAGGAACCATCACCCTTGCCGGGACCTGATAGAAACCCCTGCCAGCTACGGGGCACCTGTCCTCCGCGGCCTTGGCTCTCCAGTACGACCGGGACTCTGAAGTAAGTGCTCGGGCCCTAGGCCCAGGTGGCCACAGGAGAGCGAGGCACTGAAGGCCGCGGCTCCCCCCGGGGCAGCCCATCAGGCCTGCACGCACACTGGGAGAAGGCGGCTGCTGTTTGGCCCTGAGTTCAGGGCTGTCCGGGGCCCGGGAGCCTTTGCACAGAGGAGCCCGGAACCCTCGGGGTGGCTCTGCTGGCCGCTCCTCCTCTAGTCCGGCGCTCACGTTTGTGCTCCCGTCCTTCGGCGTCCGAGTGACAGTGCTGTGCCTCGCCATGGCGCATTTCGGGGGATGCGGGCATCGCCCCGCTTGAGCTGCCCCATCTGTGTCGTGTGGATCAGGACCTGGCTCATCCAGGGGCACGTTCACCCCAAACCACTCCCTGCAGGAAATGGTGACCAGTCACAGTGGAGAAGTGGGGGGGGGGGGGGCTCTAAAAATGGAGAATTCCTTTAAAATACTTTTTTTTTAATGTTTATTTATTTTTGAGAGAGAGGGAGAGAGGAGGGGGGGAAGGACAGAGAGAAAAAGAGAGAGAGAATCTGTGCTGTCCGTGCAGAGCCCGACGTGGAGCTCAAACTCCCCAACCGCAAGATCACGCCCTGAGCTGAAATCGAGAGTCGGGTGCCTAACTGACTGAGCCACCCAGGTGCCCCTTAAAATGCTGTTTTTAGAAAAAAACGTTTCTTGATTTATTTTGAGAGAGAGTGTGCACATACCTGCATGTGCGAGACACAGAGGGAGAGAGAGAATCCCAAGCGGGCTCCTCACTGTCAGCACAGAGCCTGACATGGGGCTCGATCCCACAAACTGTGAGCTCATGAGCTGAACCGAAATCAATAGTCAGATGCCTAATGACGGAGCTACCCAGGTGCCCCTTTAAAATACCTTTCGGGCTGTTGTATACCTAGGTGGCTCTGTCGGTTAAGTGTCCAACTTGGACACAGGTCACGATCTCGCCGTTTGTGGGTTCGAGCCCCACGTCGGGCTCTGTGCCAACAGCTCGGAGCCTGGAGCCTGGAGCCTGCTTCCGATTCTGGGTCTCCCTCTCTCTCTGCCCCTCCCCCACTCACACTGTCTGTCTGTCTGTCTCTCTCCTCCCCCTCTCTCAAAAAATACACAAACATTAAAAAATTACGAACACGATACGATAAAATACCTTGAAAAGAATCGCAGTGCCCAGCTGCTGCGGGTGTTCACTCCGGGCATTCTGCCTCCTCCTGTACTTTTCTGATAAACCCGGGACAGAGGGTTTTAAAGAGGTGGCCTCAGATGCTGGGCCAATGGTGGGCTCATAAGAGATCGAGCAACCTCATCATCTCCCGGCTCACATCTACAGAGCGGGTGTGGCCTGTGAGGGGTGACCGGCGGCAGGGGGTTGGCCAGTGTGGGGCGAACAGTCCTGTGTGCTCCTGGCCATCCCACGGTGGCTTTCCCTGGTGCCCCGAGAATGGCTACCTCGTGTTCAGTGTTGGGCTCCCAGGCCGTGTAGCCAGTTGGGCCAAGCGTGGTCTGGAGTGTGGCTTTTTTTGCTCTGTCGTGATTTAGGAAATCAGGGAGGTGGGCAGTGGAACTCCAGTCCCCCGTAGGAGAGGTGAAGAAAAGGTTTTGTTGCTTAAGGGGTGGACTTCAGGGATCTGGGGGTGGGGTCAGCTAACTGGTCGGTGGACCGATCTGGCCCTCTGCCTGTTTTTGCAAGTAAAGTTTTATCGGCACGCAGAGCGCGGCGTGCCTGGACAGATCGCCTCTGTCAGCTCGAGCTCGAGGATGTAGGTGGGAATATGTACCGTGTGATCCTGTACAGAAAAGGTGTGTCGGCCTTGGTCTGGGTCAGCTTGTCGCTTGCCGGGGCCGGATGGGCCAGGCCTTTGTGGACGGGTTCGGAAACGATTTCCTCTGTGTCTCCGACGGCATGGCTTTTACTCTTAGAGCTTGTGCTTTGTCGGGAGACGGCCACATCTCCAAAACGTGGCCATCTCTTTGTACCCAGATCAGTGGGGCATGTTCTGTGTGCGTACCTCGTTCCGTGCGGTTAGATTAACCTTTAGTGGTCCCTCGCTGCGGTCATCCTGACCTGCTCTCTCCCTCGATCAGCCCATTTTGTAGCTGAAGAAACTGAGCGCCACGACTGAAAAGGTTCTCTGGAGGAGGGCGAGACGTGAATTTAGACTCCTGGTTCCTTCGTCCAAAAGGCCTGGGGCCTTCAGGGAGATTAGAATCCTTGAGAGAAAGCAGACCAGTTCCCTGTGGTCTGCCAGGTCCCCAGCAGGCTACCTTGGGCTTTGCAAAAATTCGTCCTTAGGGAGACAGAATTCGCATACCGTAACAGTCACCCTTTAAAGTGTACGGTACAGGGATTTTTATTTAAATTTTTAAATTTTATTATATACTTTTAAATGTTACTTATTTTTGAGAGAGAGCACAAGTGGGGGAGTGGCTGAGAGAAGGGGCGACTCGGCATCCGAAGCAGACGCCAGGCTCTGAGCCGTCAGCACAGAGCCTGACGTGGGGCTCGAACCCATGAGACCTGAGATCATGACCTGAGCCGAAGTCAGACACTTAACTGTCTGAGCCACCCAGGCGCCCCAGTACAGTGACTTTTTAGTATGTATGCAGAGCTATGCAACCATCTGATTCTAGGGCGTTGTATCCCCCCAGAAAGAAACCCCTCCTATAATGTAAACCCGTGCGTGAAGCAGTCACTGTCCCTCCCCCTCCCCTGGCCCCCACGAGTCCCCTTCCTGTCCCTGGATGGGCCCGTTCTGGACGTCTCACCCACGCGGACTCACACCCCGCTTGGCCTCTCGGGTCTGGTTCCCTCCCTGAGCGTCGCGTGTCTGGGGTCCGTCCTTGGAGGGGGGGGGGCGCCTCGCTCCGGCTCCTGGCTGATCGTGTTCCCACGCGTGGGGGGCACACCGTGTGTAGCTGTTCATCAGTCGATGGGTATTTTGGTTCTTTCCCCTTTAGGGGTGTTACGAACTATGCTGCTGTGAACGTTCACTACAGGTTTCTGTGCTGACGTGTGTTTTGTTTTTCTTGGGTAGACACCGGGCGTGGGGTTGCTGGGTCACGTGGTCCCAGCCCTTGTGTCACCTTTTCAGTTACTGCCACGCTGCATTCCACAGTGGCTGTGCCACTTCCCATCCCCCCCCCCCCCCCCCCCAGCCGTGCGCAAGAGCTCCTCTTGGGACAGCCGCCACCATACCCGGGCCCGCTAGCGCCACCGTGAACTTGCAGGCCGAGGTTGTCGGCGGGGGTCGCCTGCACAGCCCCCGCCGCTGGCTGTCCCTGGGGATCTTAACCCTGCAGCATAAGGGCGGCTCTTTCTGCTCCGTGGCCCCGGGCCGCTGTCCACGTCTGCTTAGGTTCGGGGACAACAGGGCCTGCGGACCACCGTTGGTAGCCCGGTCCCGTTTCCGGCGTTCTAGAAACTGTGCTCCTGTCTGGGTGAACGTAGGCGGATGTGCTGGTCTTCCCGAGATGTGCCCCACAGCAGAAAGCGCCCAGGTTGGAGCGACGCGGGGACTGTTTCTTTCTTTGCACGATGGACTTTTCACACGGCACCTGAGCGGCCTGAGTAGTGCCTCCCGAAGGCGCACGCGGCTCGCTCGCGGGAGCCTGGCAGTGTGTGTGCTCCCCCGCGTGGTAAGAGGGACTTGCTTGGCAGACGGGGTTACCTGAAGGCCCCCGAGATGGGAGATGTTACTGGATTATCTGGGGTCCCGGTGCCAACACCAGGGTCGTTGTACGAGGGGGGCCGGAGGGCCGGAGGCAGAGCCGTGGGCGGACCCTGTGCCACTGGCTGTGAGGGTGGAGGACGGGCCGCCGTCCAGGGATGTGCTGCTCCTGGATGCCGGAAAAGGCAGGGAACTCCAGAGGGGACGCCCCGGCCTCCTGGCGTCCTGCCTCTGGGAGGCGCTCTGCCTGTTCGGTCCCCTTCTGTCTCTGTGGCCATCTCGGACGGGCCGGTTCTGTGGCACCAAGGCCGATCGAGTCTGGCATCCTCTGTGGAGTCCGTGTCGTCCCGGGCTGTGCCCAGCACTTCTGCCCGCTGTCCGCCCTGGTCAGCCGTCCTCCTGGGCCCCCTGCTCCCGCCGGCCAGTGCTCTCCTGCTGCTTGGAGGCCCGCACGTAGAGCCCTCCCCACGTGTGGTGCCGTGGGCCCGAGGGCAGGCAGGGTGAGGGTTCTGTGACACGGGGGTCGGCCGGGTCCCCAGCTTGCGGGCTCTGTGAGGTCAGGGATCGTGCCCGTGCCTCGCGGAGAACCTGGGGCCTAGTTGACGCTCCCCGAGGAGGAGGAGGAGGATGTGGAGGACTTTCTAGTCTCTCTTCCTTGCCGGACCCTGACCATACACACAGGCACCTGGCCCTCTCTGCAGCCGCTTGTGGGACACAGTGACACAGCACCGGGCCCACACGGGGGACCAGATGAGGGGGGTTGAGGGGGCTCTTGTGTCACCTCTGCGGTAGGTTCCCTCTCGAGTCCTGGTGACGCAGAGGCCCCTCCTGGGGAGCGATCGCGCTCCAGGGCCTGACTGCCGTCGCCCCCTTTCGGGAGCTGTCCTCTGCCAGCAGGAGCCGTGCCGAGGTGGGGGCAGGCTGGCTGGGGGTCACTGGGCGTTTCATCCGATGGCCAGACCTCCTGGCCCGGAGCCTGGCAGGGGCAGGTAGAGGTGAGGGGTTGGGGGGAGAGAGGCCCCTTTGGGGCAGGGGATGGGCCTCCCCGAGAAGGACTGGGGTTCCCAGGGAACTTTCAGACATCATGTTCATGGAGCCCCAGCTACTTCCCAAGACAAGGGTAGTTAAGTATTTCTCAAGGTTATATTTCCTCACAGTTCACCTTCATCGTAAGGTCACATTTGCTCAGAGGACATACTTTCAGGCATGTTACATATCACAACCTCAGAGGTGCAGATTCCCCCCATCCACATCCTGGAAAACGTCTGCCATCCGACCTCATAACCCGTCAGGGTCAGTCTCTGAGCCCTTCAGTCAGAAAACC